CCGGCCCAGAGAGCCTGGTCCCCTGGAACCATGCCAGGATGTGCTCGGGTCTGGCGCCTCCCCCTGCCCACTTCCAATCTCGTTCCCTTTGGAGATATGGGGAGGAGCCCCAGGCGGGGCAACTGGGTCACCTCCCAGGGCCCAATTCTTCTTTGTAGGGTTGGCACACGCCATTCTGCACCTCGGGAGATTCAAGGAGCCGGAGTTCATCGCTTGTCACTCTCCTTTGCTTGGCTAAGCTAAGGGATGCCAAGCTAAGGGACAGAATTAGCTCTTTGCTTTAACTCTCAAGGCTCCCCAAGTGGCTGAACCATCGGCGGACGGAGCGGGACGCGGCCTCCTGGGAACCTGCCCAAGGCTTTTTCCCTGGTTCCTCTGGGAAAAGATCCAGAAAAAGACTGAAAGTATCCCAGCGGAGAGGGAGGGGGTAGGGAGGGACCAGGCCCTGCCTGGCTGTCAGGAGAAGCCCTTGGGGCTCTGGGAAGACACGAGGTCCCCCTGAGGCCAAGACAGCAATTCTGTTCTCAGTGTGCCCTGGGGAGGGCCGGCTGGGCCTCATCGCTCCCAGATCCACTCAGACCCCTGGGGTCCTCACTGCATTCCCGGACTGCAGGCCAAGTGCCCAGTTTCACGGAAGCCTCAGAAGTCAAATCGTCTCCAAAAGGCCATGAGCCAGCCCGTGAGCACGGAAATGGGCCGCCTCCCAAGGATGGCCAGAAAAGTCGGGGCTCAGCACCCAGAACCGCCTTCCTGCCTCATCTATCCCTGACCACTGAGATGTGCCACCCCTAACTTATCTCCTGTGACAGCCAGTGACAGGCACCTGGCCTGTGGTGCCGGGACAGCAGCGGGGCAGGCCATGCCCAGTGGACCCGCCCACGTTGTGTCCACACGCCAAAGTGGGGTGATGGTGTGGGTGTGGCCCTTCTGGGCCCGACCTCCACAGGCTGGACCCCTTCAGGAGCTTGCCCCCCCCACACACACTTTGGTGACACATACCCTCAAGGACCAAAATGAAAGTGACGAGTCCTGGCTTGGCATCCCCATCACTTGCCACAGTAAGTGAGGGGGTCAGGGAGAGCGGGCTTCAAATTCGGGCTCCGGTGCCCACAAGCCCTACAAACTTGGGCATACAATTTCCCTGCTCTGAGCCTGTTTTCTCACCTCTGAAGTGGTCTTTCTAATACCAATCCCCTGAAAGGTCAATGCCTCTTTGGGGCTCTGCTCAGAACCTGGTGTGTATCACCTGGAGGCCACCCCATCCCAGCGCAGTATCTCTCTGCCTCTTCCATCCTCTGCCTACATTTCCATTTTTCCTTCTATTCCTATCGACAGCTCCTTCCACGGTGTGGCAGATTGCATTATAGTTCAAAATTACTGACCACTCCTCCAGGGGGATTGTATGCCCAGTGACATCCTCGGAGTGCTTGACTACATGACCTGCTCTAGCCAATGGAATGTGAGCAGAAGTGATGCGCGTTGTTTCCAGGGAGAAAATTTCAGAGCAGGCGCACAGGTTCCCAGGTGTGTCTATTTCTGCCCCAAGGTGACATCATTCCAGATGGAGGCTCCTCTGTCAGCCGGGGCCCTAGAGTGAAGGGGACACGGAGCAGAGCTGCAGCCACCCTCCAAGGACAGGTGGCAACTGTAACACAAGCTCCGTTGTTGGAAGCCATGGACACCTGGGGGTCGTATTTTTTTTTGTTTTTTGGGGGATTTTTTTGCGGTACGCGGGCCTCTCACTGTTGTGGCCTCTCCCGTTGCGGAGCACAGGCTCCGGACGCGCAGGCTCAGCGGCCATGGCTCACGGGCCCAGCCGCTCCGTGGCATGTGGGATCTTCCCGGACCGGGGCACGAACCCGTGTCCCCTGCATCGGCAGGCGGACTCTCAACCACTGCGCCACCAGGGAAGCCCTGGGGGTCATATTTTGTCTGATACACGTTGTAGCTCTTGGAAGTCTTTAAAGGAGTTCCCGAGACCTGACTTTTGTCTTCCACTGCTGCTAGGTGCAGTGGATAAATAACAGTTAAGATGTTAAGCTTCAGGGCTTGGCAGCTACTCAGTAGGTGCTCAATAAACAGTGGATGTGGTTGTGACTTGGCATCTCTGCACACAGACCAGACTGACGACCAGCTGAGCTGCAATCCTACTCTTCCTCTCGTGTGAGTTGTGCGAAGGTGCAGGCTTGGTGCCAGGCTCCAGCAAGCTTCTCCACTGAATTCGTGCCTGTGGTCTTCTCCGTCATCTCCTGGAGCCACTGCCTGCTCCCCTCCCCCACCCCGCCACCCACCTGCGAGAGCTGTGTGGACGGAGGCGCCTTAGATGAGATTCCATTGTCCACCTGTCCCCCGGCCCAAGGTCAGGTTTATTAAGCTTGCTGCGGCAGGAGAGGATGCACACCAGAGGAACGCTGGGGCATCTCTCCCCACATCTCCTGTCATTTTTCTCCATTGACTGAGCCCACGTTAATCCCCTCTGCCGTTCCAGACCTCCCTCTCCTTTGCTATTTCACTTCTACCCCCTGCAATCAAATCTGGCCCAGGGGCCCATAGCACCCCCTTAGCACTGGCCTTGCTGTGCTGGTGGTCTTCTGAATTTGGGCTGAATTTTGGGCAACATTCCCCTCTCAGCACCCAGCACGTGGTAGGTAGACAGGAGGGGCTCGATAAAGCCTGGTTCTGCTCTGCTGAGTTGGTGGCCTGGTGGCTAGTGGGGCTGTGGAAGGACAGAGAGCTGCTCTCTGCAGACTAGGTCACTATGGTCCTACCAGGGATGCAGGTAGGAAGGCAAAGTGCCCCCCAACCCATGGCTGTTGGGCAGGACCTGGCAGAGCTGGCAAGGAGCCATGTACCCCCAGGCCTGGGCTCCAGTTTCTCTCCCGATCTCTGCCTCCTTCTTGCCTACTCCACTCCCGGCAGCTGGGGACCCTGAGCAGACCAATTCTCTCTCAAAGGATGGGGTGTTGTGGTTGGGTCTGGTGCCTTCCCCACTGACCACTAGGGACCAGAGGTCAAGGATTTCAACAAAGGAATGCGCGAAAGCCATCTCTCTTTATTTTGTATTCCTGCCGTTCAACCAGTTTGCACAAGCTGAGGATAAGTGGATTTTGGAGGGGAAGGAGGAGTGTGTGGGCACAGACCCTCCCGGAAATAGTCTATGCACATTGCCGAGGCTGGTTAGACTTGAGAAGCGATTTAACAATAAACTCTACAGAATCAGAAATGTACAAAAGTGTCAAGGCAGCTGCTGGCTGGTTTCTTGCCTCCCCACGGGGGTCAGAGTTACACCCGTCAGTCCTGTGCAAAGGTCCTGGGGCTGGCCTGGGGGCACAGCCAGATTCCTCCCCAGGGGAGGAGCAGTCCTGCTCATGCAGCAGAAGTGTGTCAAGGGACAGGCACATGGGCGTATGCCCAGGTGCCCAGACCCCCTCAGGTTCTGTGGCTTTTGAGCCTGTCTCTGCGTCCTGCCTTTATGTTCGCCCTTTGAAAGTGTTCATGCAGGTGTAGGTTCCTGAGAATTTGTGGATCTCCTCGAGGGCAGCCTGTGGGAGTATGCTGGTGGAGTGGGGAGGGAAAAGAGAAGATGGTTAGTGGGGAGACCAGTGGCCGGGTCACTGGTAGCCAGCCACACAAGGGGTGTAGTAAAGTGATGGTTCCCATAAGCTCTCCCCACCCCTCTCTCCAACATACACCAGCTCCCCCGACAAGCCACCACTACCCACCCCTCCATGGAGGAAGGGCTTTCAAGTAAGTAGGTAAATAGTTATTTACAAGGTAAAGGGTGGGTGTTACAAATTTTCAAAGCCACACTCTTAGCATTTTAGGGCCCAAATGTATCTCAGAGATCAATTAACTCCAAATGCCACTTATTCAACAAATATTTACTGTGTGGGGCTGAGGAGTTAGGTACTGGGTGTCACCTCCTCTTTTTTTTTCCATGTATTATTTATTAAACAGCCACACTGTGCACATGATACAGTTGATGCCAAAATCTGTCCTCTCCGCCATCTCAAGATTCTCAGCCAAGTTTGTTCCACTGCATAGTGATGTCTTCCTATAGCTGGGACCTCAGGTGTTACTTCTCATCCTTTATGTCCCTCCAGATAGTAAAACACCTGCATATACCTTCAGGCCTTGTTCTTTAGCATGACACAATTTCTTGCTTCTTGTAGGAAACTTCCCAGACTCACCCCTAGGCCTTTCCTGGGGCTCCGCATAGCTCTATGCTTCCCCAACAACCCCGGAGTTGTGCTTGCTGTTTACTTGTCAAGTCCATGGGTGCCTCTGTGGTAGATATTTCATCTCCGATCCTGGCACTTAGCACAGGGCCCAGTAGAGAGACGCCCTCTGTTCCTCTGTTGAATGAAATTGAAGGGCCCTGGCCCATTCTAGTTGCAACATGGGAAAGTCTCACTTCTGGCTGGAGCAATCTGGAAGGCTTCCTGGGGGTGGTGGCACTAGAGTTGAGCCTGTGAAGATTTCTCTTGGGGAAGGTGAAAGGAGGCGCGGTGCAGGGAATGGGGAGGGGCTGGCCTCTGCTTCTTGTGGGAAAGTAGTGGGGGATAGAACAGAAAATGTAGGCTGGGTGCTTACTGTGGAGAGTGCTGAGGTGTTCTAGACAAACTAGCTTTTTTCTAGAATGTCCCCAAAAGCTTCTAAGAAGCTCCCTGAGGTGGAAGATCAGCTTGGCTTTGGTGAGGATCCAAGTCCCTGCTCTCCAAGGCTCACAGAGGCGGCCAAGTAGCATCTCAAAGCAACAGTCAGGATGGACTGAGGGAGGCTGAGGTGTGGCCTGAATGCCCGGAGTCCCCTACTCTGTGTCACTGAAAGGGACTGATGTGTCCCCGGGTCCTGAGGTTTCTTGCCTGCAGTTAGAGTAGCTCCTCAGATGCCCACTGTGTCCACAGCAGCCAGAGGGGAACCTGGTTTCCTGGGGGTTGACATCTGATAAAGGCACTTGGGTGCTTTACCTCCTGAAAAGGCCTTTCAGGTCAGAGGGGTTCAGTCAGCTGGGGGTTGGGGGCCCAGGGGAGCCAAGAGTCCACGGTCACTCGGGCTCCAGGGTCAAAGCTCTCTGTGCAGCATGAGAGGCCTATGAAAACAGTGTTTAGTGGGGCACCTGCAATGGCCCCTTCAGTGTGGGAGTGGGATGGGAATGGTTTGTTGCTCAGAGTCTGGAAAGTTCTAGGGAATGTGATGCTGGGCAAATTTTGGAGGAAGATGGTCTCCTCTGTAAAGCCTCCCCCGCAAGGTGGTCTGCCCTGGTAAATCCCACCAGGGATGTTTCTGTGAATCCCGAGCCTTTGGCAACGAAATCCCTGTCTTCCCCATTAACCGATGTTCCTTTTAAAATTTTATTCTATTTTATTTTATTTTTGGCCGTGCCACACAGCATGCGGGATCCTAGCTCCCCAACCAGGGATTGAACCCGTGCCCCCTGCAGCTGAAGCGCAGAGCCTTAACCACTGGACCGCTAGTCTTCCCTATTAGATTGAACTTCCTGAAGGCTAGGGCCAAGATTTAGTCTCTAGAATAGCAGTTCTCAGAGTGTGGCCCAGGAACCCTTGGGGGTACCTGAGATCTCTTCAGGGGTCTGTCTGCCAGGTCAAACTATTTTTATTATAATACTGAGACAGGTTTTGACTTTTTAAGTCTCATTCTCTCATGAGTGTACAGTTGAGTTTTCCAGAGGCTACATGACATGTGACGTCAACAGATTAAAATCAGAAGCAGATATGAGCATCCATTTGTCTTCAATTAATTCAGATAATAAAGAGCTTTGCAAAAATATAAAATAATGCCATTCTTCTTACTACATTTCTTTTTTGGAAAATACATTTACTTTTCACAAAAATATCATTTATGTTAACACTGAATGGGTTTTTTCTTGCTATATATAAATGAATAAATGTATAAATCCCATAAAATATTTTCTCAGTTTTAATTTCTAATACAATAGATACAACTCACAGAGATAAAAGCACTTTGGGTTCTTCAATAATTTTTAAGATTGTAAAGGGTTCTTGAGACCAACAAGTTTGAGAACCGCCACTCCTTAGTAAGGATAGTATATCCATGGCACACGTGCCACTGCTCTCACTTTCACGCCCACAACAGGCAGGCATGACTAATCAATCACCGGGGTACTTTCTCTTGCCTGAGGCCTCTTCCCCACCAGGGTCCACGGGGAGAAGGGGAAGTGGCCAGCATGAGCCTGACCCAGAGCTTCCTCCCCCCGCCCCATACCTTTTCAAGATAATGAGGGCGTGCATCGTCCACGGGAGGAGGAGGAGGGCCTGATTGAGCTGCACGGCTTCCACCGTCCTCCGGGCCACGGTCTCCGGCTTTAGGGGCGGGAAGAGGTTGGGGAACCTGCAGGCAGGAAGAGACAGTGTGGGCTTCCCCTGAGAAGCGAGCGCTTCTGCTGAAAACCCCTGTGGCTAACATGTCAGGGTCATCCCTTTGGCTTCTCCTGTGTGGGAGACTTGAGACCTGTTTGGAACACTCTCCCTGCCGCCCGGGATGTGTCAGGAGTTCCTCTTCCTCTCACTCCTCCCAGCGAGTCTCCCCTTGAGAATTGAGGGCTTCTAGCCCACCCACCCACCTGGGACCCATTCTTAGAGCACTGCAGAGGGCTCTCCCAAACCTCACTCGCATCCCGTCCGGCCCTGCTAAAGCCCTCCTGGGGCCCCTCGCTCTGCTTTCAGTCCTACCCGCTCTGGGCCTCACCTTTCCTCCTTCTCACTCTGCCCCAGCGATCCTGGCCAACCCTGTCACTTAAGATCTTTCCCATCTCAGCTGTCCCATCAGCCTGGCTCCTTCCTCGCATCCACTCAGAGTGGCCTCTAATCTCGGCCCCCTGATAATTGCCTTGACTGAATAGAGAACGGCCTTGCCTGTCTGCTTGTTTCCTGTGAATGGCCTGTCTCCCCCATCAGCCTGTGAGTTCCCCAAGGGCAGAAGTCTGGTGGGTCTTGCTCCCTGCTGTATGCCCTGTGTGCAGTGTCTGGGATATAGTAGGTGCTCAATAAATGTTTGCTGAGTGGGCAGACACTGAACGATGTGGCATTCCCCTACCCCTTGCTTGTTTACTCACTCATTCCCTAATTCATGGATACACTCACCGATTCATTCAAACATCTACAGGGCGTTTCCATGGGGTTGATAAATGAATGGATGAGTAAGCAAACCTCAGGGGGTTCTCATGCCTGTTCAGAGACATCTGACCTGAGACCCGTACAGGGATGATGCTCCCTTAGCTCCAGGCCTGTGCTGAGTGATCAACAGGCATCATTTGCTCCAACTGCCAGAGAAGGAAGCCAAGGCTCTGGGGATGGTGGGGACTGGGGATTCAAACCAGGCCCACAGGAGCCCCAGACCCGTGCTCTGTCTCCCCTGTCCCTCGCTTGCTGCTTGTCCCACTGCTCCTGGGCCTATAGGTGCAGGACTGATGCTGCTGGCTCTGACTTCAGTCCCACAAAGGGCTGGTGAGCTGCTCCAGCACCAGGAGGACTGAGGGTGATAAGTCGCCTGGGGATGATGTCACCCTGAGCAAAACGCAACTCCTGGGCCCCCAGCACGGGCTTGGCTGCCTTCAGAGAGTCCACGGAGCTCGCCCCCAACCCTTGGCTTCCTTTGCCATCATGACGGGCTGCCAGGATGCCCACGACCCTGCAGTCTGGAAGGGCTGGCCTCAGGGTCCTGCGGAGATGGACGCGTGAGATGGCTCGTCACGCTGGAGCCCCACAGACACGGTGGACAGTGTGGGTTTCCAGCCCCCACTTGGGCCAGTGCTGCTTCTGGGGGGACAGGAAGACAGGATGGACAGACCAAGCTCCGTGGGCTCAGGGGGCTCTTCCTGGTAAGATCCGTGCAGGAGAACCTGACAGAGGGGATGCCTCACACATGCCCGCTGGTGGGGCTTTCTCTTTTCCCTCCGTGGTGTGTGGGATGGGTACCCGGGGAACCGGCAGAGCTACGAACTCCCACGGAGGCTGCACAAACCCCTTGAAAGAGCATGCTCAGCCAATTTCTATCTGTGTCGTCTTGGGCAAGTAACTTTGCTTCTCAGAGCCTCACTTTCCTCATCTGAGAAATGGGGATAAGAGCTCTCGCAGGGTTGTGGAGGGTCAAACGCAGAAGCGTTTGTAAAGTGTCTGGTGTGGCTGGAACATAAAGATCAGTAAAGAGCAATTTACAAACAACAGCACCCACCTGTATGGCCACTCTTGCCAGAAAACCCATCAGTTTTGCCCTAAACATGTCTCCCACCCTCAATCCCGGGAAGCTGCTAAGCATGGAAGCTGCTAAGCATGGTTGGAGAGGAAGCCAATTCTTTCTTTCTTTCTTTCCTTCTTTCTCTCTTTCCTTCTTTCTCTTTCTTTCTTTCTTTCTTTCTTTCTTTCTTTCTTTTTTCCTTCCTTCCTTCCTTCCTTCCTTTCTTCTTTCTTTCTTTCTTTCTTCCTTCCTTCCTTCCTTCCTTTCTTCCTTCCTCTTTCTTTCTTTCTTCTTCTTTCAAGAAATGGCAGTTGGTTAGGTACCAATCAACATTTTACTGCCCTTCTCCCAAGCCCTCGGGGCTCACCTGCAATCCACAGGTAACTAACCTTCACCTAGTGCTTACTACTTGCCAGCTGGCTAGTTGATTCACGCACAGGAGCTCATCTAGCCTGTGAGGCCAGGGTACCATTATCAATCCCTTCTTACAGACAAGGAAACCGAGGCACAGGAAAGCGAAGTAATTTGCCCAAGGTCACAGGGAGCTGGGATTAGGCCCCCGCAGCCTGGGCCCGCATTCTGAGCCACTGTGGGAAAATGATCTGGGGGAGGCCTTGGGTTTCCTTCTTAAAGTGATGGAGAGGAAACTATGCCAGAAGGTGAAACAGGCACAGGGATGCAAGGTCTGTGAATGTCCTGCCCACTTCAGGGCACCCGATTAGAACCATGGGTCGCCACTGTGGCACTTCCATCCAATATGCATTGTTTGAGCACTTCCTGTATACCCAGATGAAAAGAAACCAAACCAAGACATCATGGGGGGAGAAAACCAACATGGAACATTAATAGTCATTAATCCAGCCTCCTCTAAATTCAGCATCTATGATAATTTGCATATAAGTCAGGTGTGAAATATATACATCTGTGACGACTGAAGTCTGCTAGGAAGATTTGTAACTTATGCACTTATGAAGATGTTTATTGTTAGGAAAAATAATGAGAGCAGCAGTTCGTTACTGAGCATCTCACATGCCCGGGGCTTCACACTAGATGCGTTACATGTGTTATTTCTAATTCTCTCAATGATCCTATGAGGTTAGTGTTATTTTCACTGTTTGACAGATGAGCAAAGTAAAGCTCAGAGTGGTAACAAAACGGGTTCAAGGCTTCGCCACCATTCAGTAGCTGAGGTGTGATTCCAAACAGGGAGTTGTGTTTTTTCCTTAATTTTATTGAAGTGTAGTTGATTTACAATATTGTGTGAATTTCTGCTGTACAGCTAAGTGACTCAATTACACACACACACACACACACACACACACACACACACACACACATTCTTTTCCTTTACGGTTTATCCCAGGATATTGAAGAGAGTTCCCTGTGCTGTACAGTAGGACCTTGTTGTTGATCCATCCTATATATAATAGTTTGCATCTGCTAATCCCAAACTACCATTCCTTCCCTCCCCTGCCCCGCCTCCCCCTTGGCAACCACAAGTCTGTTCTCCATATCTATGTCTGCAAAACCAGGTGTTTTGATTCTTGATAGCAAAACCAGACTCAGTGATAATCACTAAGGTGTTCTGAGTGATTCCCACCCGGATGCACTACGCCACATGCCTTCCACTCTCTCAGGAAACTCTCACAATGACCCTTCCACGCTATCCTCATGTTTGGAAGAAGCTGATCCATATCATTTAGAAAGCAAAATATCATTATACGTTGCATTGCAAAAAACAAGGAAAATAGTTTTTGGATGATTCCACATTTTCACTTATCTATAATCTTATGCCCCTTCACAAGCGCACGTCGTTATAGCACCATTTACTGGGCACTTACTATGTAGCACATACGGTGTTGCATGCTAGACCCCATTTTATCCCTATCACAGAGCCCTAAGGGTAGACATTCCCATCATCCCATTCTACAGATTAGCATCAGACGCAGGAGCGGGAACTAATCGGGCTCAAGGTCACGCACACCCCAGGGGCCTGGCTCCAAAGCACAAGCTCTAAACCAGTGGTTCCCATTCCCGTTGATTTAAGTGGCCTGGAGGAGGGGTGGGTGGGCTTCGGTATTTCTTTAAACTGAGCTATAATTTGCATACAATAAAAGGCATAAATCTTGTGTCCAGCATGATCAATTTTTACCTATGTAACCCCCGCTCAAATCAAGAAGAGAGAACATTTCTAAAAGCCTAGAAGGTTCCCTGGTGCTCTCTGCCAGGCTATGTCCCCACTCCTCTTGGGGTGGCCACTGTTCTGATTTCTATCACCTCGGTCCAGTTTTGCCTGTTGTAGAACTTCAGATAAATGGAATCATGCAGAATGCACTTTTATGTCTCTGGTTTCTTTCTCTCAACATTTGAGATTCATCCATATTGTTCACTTACCAATACTTGGTTCCCTTTATATAGTTGGGTAGTATTCCATTGCATGCATTTAGCATGGGAACTCTGTACAAGCCCCCTGACCTGAGAAGCAGGACCCTAAACCACTACAGAACCCCACTGCCCTGCAGATGGAGAATCAGGTATGAGACCAAAAAGCCAGAGATAAAGGGTTCTGGGTTATTTTAAGATTTTGGGTCTCTGTGTGTAACGAGTCTTTCCCCTGATCTGATCTGCTGGAGGGACTTGGCTCGGAGAGGGGGTCCCCTGCCACTGACCTGACCCTCATGCCCTGGAACATCTCGGTACTGGTGTGGAAGGGCAGCACGGTGGTGGCACTGACGCCTGGACAGTCCAGCAGCCCCAGGGTCAGGCTCTCCATGAAGGCGAAGGCTGAGGCTTTGGACGTGCAGTAGTCGATGGCGCCGGGGATGGCAGAGAGCGCCAGCACGGAGTTGAGACACACGATGTGGCCGTTCTGCAGCTCCAGCATCCGTGGCAAGAAGGCCTTGGTGGTCTAAAGGTGGGTGGGGAGGTCAGTGTGCAGCAGCCACAGCTTCCAACAGCCCCTCTACCACCCCCTCAGGGAGAACAGACCAGCCTGTACACAACACACTACACCAGCGACCAGGCTTTCCTGGGATGGGAGGCGTGCGGGCCGAGGGCACTGAGCCCCACATTTCAGAAAGTCCAGATGCCTCCTGGGGCAGCCGGTCATTCGTCTTGTCCGGTCACCCTATCCTAGGACATCCCCCCTGGCCTGAGCCCAAGCCCTGGCGAGCCTCTCCCCACTCCCCTACAGCTCCCAGGATCCCTGGAGGGAAGAAGCATGTCACTGACATGCCCAGGGCTGGCTCAGGCTCAGGATAAACTTACCCAGAACTGGCCCAGGGTGTTGATGTGCTGGGACTTGAGAAGGGCATCATCGTCACTGTCCATCAGGCTCTTCCCATGGACCACGGCGGCGTTGTTCACCAGGATGGTGATGTCGCCCACCTGTGGGCAACAGGGGGTCGAGGGGCCGTTAGGGCGGGCAGCCCCAGTGGCTTGCACTTGGAGAGGAGGGACCTGGTCTTGGGAAGTCACATCACCTCTCTGAGCATCAATCTTGATTTGTAAGATGGGGCTAATAACCATACCAGGGTCGTTCTGGGGATCAGAAAGAATTTATGGCTGGGAATTCCCTGGCAGTCCAGTGGTTAGGACTTTGCACTTTCACTGCCGAGGGCCTGGGTTCGATCCCCGATCAGCAGAGCACATCTATAATAAATGAGGTTATTGTTACATAAAAATAGTTAACATTTACCATGTGTCAGATATCTAATGGCGGTTTCTGCTCTCTTGGAGCTCAGTGATGCATTCAGTCTAAATAGATGGCTGGAGTCGGGGATTTTCCCAGAGGGCAATGGGACATCTGTCCCCCAGGGTCTAGGATAGAAACTCACAAGATCTAAACTTCCAAAGGGGACAACAGGTGATCAGTCCGCTTACATAATCAACCTATGTCCTAGTCCCTGCCCCCTGCAACACACACACGCACACGCATGCACAACTTGGGCCAGCTTCGTAGGAAAGTCCTCCAAGATGCCCTGAAAGTAGCCATTCTGCCATAGGCAAAGCTCTCTCCCAGGCCACGTGAGAATGTTCTCTTTGGCCAGCATTCCCCCCCAGTGTCTGGCAGAGCTGAGGCCGGCCCCTCGCAGGCTGCCCACCTTCTCCCGGACAGCTTTGGCCGTCTGGTACACCTCCTCCCGGTTGCCCACATCGCAGATGAAGTAGTGGCACTCGGTGCCCATCTGCCGAATCTCCTCCGTCGTCTCCTTCAGGCATTTCTCAGTCCGGCCCCACAGAACGATCTGGAAGGAGAGGATAGCAGTACTGAACACGTGGTCATTAAGGAAGCCATCGTGATTCAATGATTGCCATCAGAAATTCAGTATGTAATCTGCCCCAGGACTGGCCTCCCTGATTCCATTCAAAGAGAGTATGAAAAGTCACGATATGATTTGTTAAAGGGATATATATAGCCTACTCTGAAGGGAACCAAGCGTTTCTGAGCCTGTTCATGACCCATTGGTGGATGCGTGATTCACAAGTCTTTCTTACGTATTGCTTCCAGGAGGAGGTCTCCTGTAGGCCCAATTCCAATGATCCTACCTAGTTAAAAGTAGTAGCAGAGCTCTTTCTGTACGATGTTCCAGAATGCTCTGAACTAGAAACAAGCTGGCCTTCTCACCACTGAGGTCTAGAGCCCCACTGATGAACGGACTGCGAGGTTCTGACCGTGAGGTGCCTGGAGGCTGAGCAAAGCCTTGCCTTCCACCCAGCTGTGGTCTGGCAGAAGGAGGGCCGGGAAGACAGGCAGCTGGGCTCCTCTGGGGAAGGAAACACGACCTCACCCCACAGGTAATAAACGCGGGACTCATTACGCCAGGAAGTGACCCTGGCAGGACCAAGACATGAATCCTTAAAGGGGGTTGGACAAATTTATGAATGGCTGGCCATAAAAGGCCGGGCTAATTCTCAACCTTGACCCACAGGAGAATGACACTCCTTCCCATGGTACGTCATGTGGTCCAGAGAGGCCCCTGTTGGTAAAAGAACCAGGGTCGGGTGACGGGGAACGAAGAATCCTGAGACCCAGCTGAATCAGCACAGAGGGAGAAAGGCTGGGGGCTGGAGAGAATCAGAGAAAGGAAGAGATAAAAGGCTCCTGGGGGATTAATCTAATGGGTTTCTATTTTTGTTTCCTCTCTTCCTTTTAAAAAGTATCAATGAAATTTCTCCTTAAAAAATAAAACCTAACACGGAACCCCATGTGTGAAACCAGTAAAAGGAACAAATTACACGTCCAACTCCATATTTTCTTACACTAAAAGCAACGAATGAGAGTAGAAGGGCTGAGCTGGGAAGACAAACATTTTCAAGTGGGAGTGATGGATTAACTCCAGTCACGCCAGACCAGAATCTAACTGATTTCTGTACTTTGCTCTGGACTTGGTATGGAGAAAATTCACGCAGATAAGTAGTTGTTGGTGATAACCGTTTATCAATTGTTTACCTTGAAATCTCAGAACTTTCACATAACCAAAAAAGGCACAAAATGGGTTAGCTGGTGGGACACACAAATGTGTTGGTGGCTCCCATGGATTTGACTTTTTTATTAGAGTTTTTAAAACTTTCAAAATATTTCTTAAAGGAAAATAAAAGTGTTCTTTCAACTCTTGAAACATCTCTGGGAAAGCCCAGTTTGAAAACCCCACCTTGTCCAACCAGTTTATTTATTTTAATTGAAGTCTTGAAATACAGGAAAGGCTTTACGAGGGAGAATTCCATCAGCCACCATCCACGACCACAAAAGTCCTTCAAGAGCAAAAGGTCTGCAATTAGGCAGGCTCCAAGGGACACTTTCTTGTCTGTTGAACTAAAAACAGACTTAGAATGTGTTCCTCCAGGAGAGGCTGGAGAGGTTCCCTTCACGGAGAAGAGATAAACATCTGTTCAGGCATCTTCCACCATATCAGACCTCACTCTTGCCTGGTAGTCACTGACAGCCTAGTTTCCTTCCATCCTCCCTTGTCACCCCATCTGTCTGTCCATCCATCCATCCACTCGTCCATCCATCCATCCACCCCACTCCATCATCCATCCATCTAATTTCTGAGTATGTCAGTCTGAGGTGAAGGAAATCCTTGGCCTCCTTTCTCATACCCTGGTCCCTGCCTAACCCCATCCCACCTCCATCTCATATAGGGAACAGGACCCTGGGCCTTGCAGGGTTTCCTAGGGCCTGGCTGAGGATGAGAGAGGTGCCTCCGGGACTCTGAGAACTTCTGGACAAGAGAAGGCAAGCTTAAAGTGGGGGTAGGGGCTTGTTGGAAGGCGCAGCGGTCCAGGTGCCTGGGAGCACAAGAAAACCAGCAGACAGGGAACAGGGAAGGCCAGCTCGGTCTGCATGGCTGGAAGGACAACCTGGAGAGGGAAACGGGGGCTAGAGTGAGGGAGGCGAAACGAAGGCTGTGCCCCACTGTCTTCCATGTATATACACCCAGGTGGGACGCTGAGGTCTGGCCATGTCCTTTTGGGGGTCTGTTGAGGATGCCCCTGGTGGGCTGGGGGACTGGCCTCACGCTCTGTGCTCAGAGGCCCCACCTCTCCCCAGACACTGTGACGGGTTTGCTTTCTGTCCTCCTCACCCCACCCCTCTGAGCAGGGAGCTCCCAGGTCCTTGATCCTGCCTTGTTCATTTCATATCTCAGGGCCCAGCAATGCAAGTGCTATTTGTTGAGCGAATGAATGAAAGTTATGGCCGTAGGTGGGACAGGATGGGAGGTGGTTAAATAGCCTCTCTGAGGCTGAGACGAGCCCAGTTTCCTCGACTGAGCCATTTAGGGTCCCAGAACCTTCAACACAGAGGCTGCTTAGCCTAAGAGTCAGGGAGGCCCGGACTTTCACCCAGAGCCTCAAAACCACCCAGGACTGAGCTGTGAGGTGAGGCCCAGGCCGGTGTGTGTGCGCCTCAGTGTGTCTCTCTCTGTGCGTGTCTGAGTGAATGTGCCTCTCTCTGCACGCATGCATGTGTGTGTGTGCAGCCTCTGCACTGCTGTGCGTTTCCTCAGGCGAGTCCCTGGGGAGCCAGGCTGGGCATCTTCCCGTCTTAGGACCCAGGTGCGTCTCCATGGTGACAGGGAGGCCAGGGCTGGTCACCTTGATGGAGCCTTCCAGTAACTGAGCCACTGGGGGTGGGAGGTGAGGGAGAGCTCTGCGTGGAGGGATGGGGGCCCTTCCTGGCTAGGAGCCGCCCAGTTGGAGCTGCTACAGCCACTGTCCCTCCTCTTCCAGTGCCCTGCCCGGACCCCTCTGGTGACCCAGAGTCAACGACCAGGAACCTGGCAGGTACAGCTCAGAGGCTGGTCCGGGTGGCTTCTCACCAGAGTCACCTGGGGGTGACCCCGGACAGCTGACAGGACAGGAGTCCCACCCAGTGCTCAAATGAGGGTAAGGATGGGGTGGGCGGGAGGCAAGGGGCTGAGAGGAGCGTGGGGTAAGCAGCCTGGGGAGAGGGCAGATTTATGAGCCCTTGGAACCCAACATGGCCTCCTCTTAATCAACTCCCAGGACAGGGCGCAGCTGGGGAGGGTCAGCGGCCCCGGGATTTACGCTTAAGCCGAGTTTATAAAATAAGAGCTCAGGGGCACTCGACACCCCCTGGCCTCCCCTCCCCTCGGGGGGCAAATGGCGAGCTTCCGTCCCGGGGAGGAGGAGGGAAGGGGGGGTGAAGACCTCTGGCGTCCCAGGCCTCCCAGCAGAGGCACGGGGCCCCGCCCTCCTCTCCCTCGGAGCTGCCCTCGCAGCGAGCCTGAACCCCCGAGCAGCCCCCAAAGCTGAAGGCTATCACGATCCACTTTTTTTTTTTTTGCGGTACGCGGGCCTCTCACTGTTGTGGCCTCTCCCATTGCGGAGCACAGGCTCCGGACGCGCAGGCTCAGCGGCCATGGCTCACGGGCCCAGCCGCTCCGCGGCATGTGGGATCTTCCCAGACCGGGGCACGAACCCGCATCCCCTGCATCGGCAGGCGGACTCTCAACCACTGCGCCACCAGAGAAGCCCACGATCCACGTTTTATGGCTGAGGACACTGGCTCAAAGGCGCTGAGTTAACTCGTCCAAAGTCGCACTCAGTGGGTGGCGGGGGCAGAATTTGAACCCGGAGCCTTTGTCCTCCGCAGATGCACCCCTGAAACCCAAGGGACGGTGGGATTTTTCTGAGCATTGAGAATTCTGCTCCCAAATCCCCTGAGTCCTCACCCCAGTGTTTATTCCCACCCAGACCTCAGCTTCATGTCCCTCAACATCCACAACCCCTCGACAGGACCGCACAGACGGCCTGCAGCGGGCTGGGTGCTGTGTTGCGGGATTTAACGGAGAGCAAAACAGACATGGTCTCTGCCTCAGGGAGACAGCGAAGGAATGAGAAAACAGCCAGACACAAACCGCTGTGAGAGGGATAAAGAATAAAAAGGGGAACGCTGTTGAAACTGGGGCATTTCTGTGGTCGCTGTATTATGCCCGTTGTATATCTAAGGAAACTGCAACTCAGAGAGGCTAAGCAACTTGTCTGAGGTCACACAGCAACCAAGGGGCAGAGGTGGGATTTGAACTGAGGTTTTTCACCATGATTCCCTCTCCCAGTAGGAGAAAAGCCATCTCCTCTCTTCATGGAGTCTTGTGAGGATGAAACATGCAAAAGCTGGCACCCACCTAGTGTTCAGCATCAGCTCTCTGTTATTATTTCCCACAGAGAGGAAGAGCTGAGAAAATCACAGCACAGCCCCTTGATACACCCTCTTCTGCAGCCACTAGAATGATGAGAGTTCACACCATGGAAAAATGGTCAGGAGAAAAGGGTGCAGCATTATCCATATAGGATAATCTCAGCTCTAAAAACGTAGTAAGTTGGTGGATGTCACCAGGCTACACAAGAACAGGGCTTGTCTTGGGTGGGATCATAGGTTTGCTTCTTTGTGCTTGTCTATATGGGAAAAATGCCTCTGAAAGACAAGTTCCATCATTTATGATCTTAAAAAAGGAGGACAGAATAAAAGCTTTCCCACAGATCATTTCCAAAACAGGCCATTTTTCACACAAGTAACTCAGCACAGCCGGTCCAACCCTGGCTTGCTCCCCAGGTCCCTGGCATTGCCTCTTCAGGGCTCCCATCCACTGTGAGGTGACTATCTACATGTCTCTCCCCACTGCTGAGTGAATGCATGAGGGAGCTCACTGGGGCTCCAGAGTTCCCAGCTTACACTCACTCATTACGCACTGTACTTGGCCCTGTGTGTGCTGTCTCACCA